GAGGTACCGGTAAAAACATCTCATATCGCTGCATGTCTTTCTAACTGTGTTTTCGCTCTTTTGTTCTTGTACAAATCTTTGTAACTCTTCTTGGCTGTTGCTTGTCTCGTCGTTTTGGTAGTCAGCCATTTCTTCGGTTTCGTCAGGATAATAAAATTCACTCTCACTGTAGTTCTCCTCGTCGCTCATATTGCAGAAATTTACAGAAACGATTTATAACGTTGTTTTTGTTTTGTTAACGTATTCTAAAAAGATGTCTTTGCTTTTACTTTTTTTACTCACAGTCAAAGCTGGTCGGCTGATCGCGAAAAATATTGACCGCTGTGAGCGGGCATTACAGGAAAATACCGNAGTTGAAAGTAAATTGAGAAAACTCACAGACGTGATTCAGAATTCTATTTCCAGTCCACTCCCAGCCATTTTCTTCTCGTACATTTCATCAAATTGTTGGTTTTGTTCATCAGTGAAGTAGTTTTTCCAGTCACCAACTTCGCCTTTTCGAATGAACTTTGTTGTACCCGGGTTGCTCCATTTTATGGCGTCTGGGTCACCATCGTAGAAACGTCCTTTGCTATCAGACATGGCAGTAAAGGTTGTTTGGTCAGCGATACGTTGAATCATCTCTGGAGATAAATCTTTACCAAGAAATTTGGCTATTTGTTGAACAGCACAAGGCAGGTCCTGAATATGAAAGAGGAGGTGATGCATTTTTAATCTATTGTGAATATTGTCACCGTTCAGGTAAAATACTTCATATCATCAATACCTTTTTCATGTCTTCATACTTTAGGAACAGAACAWTGTCATCATCACGATGAGCCCACCATCCAAGCACGTGATCAAACCAGCAGCCAAACTGAACTGAAAAAAAAGTTTACCATTATCACAACACACAAGCTGTATGCATCGATGCATGAAATAGGCGGTCTAACTATTGCTTGAGAGTAAAAAAAGATCGACCTCCGCACGCTTTTGTTTATCGACGCACACTCTTTCTTTGTTTTAAAACTTTTTTGTAATTACTTTTTTGYCGTACGTTTCAATTTCTTTCCTTTTTTAGCAGAAAATTAAATAGTTAATCCTTTATTTTTAATTTCATTTTCAAGTCGGGGAGTTACGACTGTTTACGAAAGGTCTCGAAGTATTTACGAAGCCAAAATGCTAGAGGGAGGGGTGCACACACATCGGTCCACGACGAGTCAAATGCTTTAATCTTCGTTTTTTCAACGTGCAATGAACGTCAAGTCAAGTTAGCAAATCTGGCGATATATCGTTATTTCAAAGAAATAGGAGTAAAAATATCTTTTTTAACCCTCATCCTTGTGACAGACTAGCCGTTGTTCTCCAACGTCGTCCCCAAGACCATCTCCACCGACTGCTTTGCAACATGGCGATCGTCGGGGAGATGACCCTGATGGTGGCTGGAGATCATGTGACCAAAACATCCAAGATTTTCGTAGGTTTGATCACGTGCCCTATCTATTCAAAATAGCGCTCAGCCATGAAACAGAAGAGACGTTAGAGGACAGCTGACAAGAATTTCTATACTCAAATTAGTTATTACCACGCTAGGTGCATCTGTTTTAACAATCAAAGTCATTACGGACGGTTGCTAATGCACTAAACCACCGACCCCCGGGACTAGCGGTGCACTGAACGGGGACGTAACACGTTCTTGACATGCTTTTTACAGCAAGATTGACTCGGGGGTCGGAATTTTGATGAATGGTTTTCGAAGAGAGCAGGGATTTTATCGCTCGTTTGAAYATGTATATGAGACTGGAAACTATAGGTCGGCCATSTTGTGTCTTGGGTTTCATGTGACGTCATAATCAAAATGTACAAAGGAAACCAGTTTTTGAAGCCTGATTTGAAATCAGCCGCCATCTTGGATGATCAAAGTTTGTTATCCAAGATGGCGTCCCCATGTACAAATTAACTAAATATTTCAAATCAATATATTCGCTTATATCTTCATAAGAAAAGTACAGGACAAAAAGCTCGAATTCTAGATAATCTGACTAGTATGCTCTTTATGACTTGCTRCTTGGTTTTTGAAAATAAYGACTAATAAATTTTAACTCAAACGTTRAATTCTCCGGTATTTCCCGGGAACGGCGCTTTCAATTGACTAGTGCATAATGCACCGGGGATTACCGAATAATTTAACGTTTGAGTGGTGTTAAAATTTTCCCCGGTAGTCGGGGGCACATTCATTGCTAAAATCCCCGCTTCTGTTGCCCCGCTATTTTGGTAGTAGTAAATAACAAAACCTTTCAATCAGATTTTCTATGATACACAATTAATTTTTGCACAATCCTGTGTACTCATTTGCGTACTACATGAGGCTAACTGGACGGAGAAAAACATGGGTAATAAGTTTCTTTAAACATTTTTCATGCAAGGTAGTTTCCAGTCTCATACATGTTCAAACGCGCGTTAAAATCCCCGTTCTTTGCCCCGCTTCGAAAGCAATTCATCAAAATCCCGACCCCYGAGGCAATCTTGGTGTCAAAAGCATGTTATCAACTTCGATTTTTTCTTACAAATGACATTTTATGCTGAAGTTTTTTTCGAAATATGCTTTACCTTATGTTGGAATTTGATAAGCAATATAAAATATGAGCGGGAGACCTTTATGGGCTATAAAACTGCTCGCTTACAGCTCTCAGTTTTAAGTAATGCCCCGAGTAAGAACTAGGGAAGCAAACGGCACAGGAATGCAAGAARGTGCTAATTGTGTATTGTATAATCCATWCATCCCATTGGTTAAAACATGAAAATCTGCTATAATTTCCCAWGTTATCGAATTTTCTAATATTATATTTAATGTCGTTTTTCGCTTTCATGAAAGCTTTCTTTAGCTTCAATATTAAGGCAATTCTAYGYRGKGAACATTGCAAATTAGAAGCATCTTTTGGCTAATGTTTTGAGTGCTTATGATTGGATAAGAGCTTTTAATACAAAAGAAACTTTGTTTCAAAATAGAGTTTATCCACATTTTATTTCAAAAATGTGTTACCCACAAATGGATACATAATCAGTGTGAAAACCAAGACATTCGTATATGGGGAACTTGCTATGCCGCACAACAATAGAGAGCTCCCTAGTTCTTACGCGCATTGTTACTTAAATGCCCATAAAGGTCTCCCGCTCATATTTTATATATTACTTAAAAACTTGTCACGTCCCCGTTCAGTTCCTCGCTAGCCCCAGGGGCGGGGGTTTCAATTGACTAGTGCATAAAGCTTTGATGCCTTATTTTTCGTAGTGTATTATTATTGATTGATTCATTATAACTGTTGCCTTATTACCTCGACTATCGATAAACATCTCAAAGAATTCATCCCATGTTCGATCAGAACCAAATTCGTAAAGTTTCAAAAGCCGATAATGATGGTAATACGATACAGCAGTGTCTTTTGGATTCCGCGCCAAGTAGATGTACTTTGGTTTGTTGGTTTTACCATCTCCCATGGGTACTTCATGGTATCGTAAATGAGTCTTGAAGATACGCGGTGAAGGATGATTCAAATACAAGTCATTGAGTTCTTCCTTTGTATTGACATTGTTAAAGAGCTTCAAGCCCTCAAGAAACGGTACTCGTTTGCTGATTGGTCTTCTGTCGATGCTTGCATCACGAATAATTTGAAAAATGATTTCGGAAACCCATGTTGTTCCTTTATATAAAAATGAGAATAAACATCACAAAGGTGTGACTCGCTAGGGCTCTAGAGAATACAATTTAGATTTGATACACTGATTTTAGAGAGTCTGATTTGTGCTGCTGTTGTCGTTTTGCGTAGGCAACATTTTTAAACCCAGTTTATCACTTCAAAAAATACAGCACAGCATACTATAGTACAGCTATTTTATGACTCGGAGACTAGATCCATGGTTGTTTSCTATTCATCAATTCCAGAGATTTCCAGATAAAATTCCAGAAATTTCCATARAAAGTCTTGATAATACGAAATTCAATTCAATTTTGCCAAAAAATCCAGAAACGCTTGTTGTAAAAGTAACCTTTTACATAATTAAACAAAATTGTAGTTGAACTACAAAATATGAACAGCTGAAGAATAACCTGAAGCTAAAGAAGAGAAAACTAAAAGATCCATACACCTTTGCCATAATGCCTGCAATTGTGTTTGTCCAAAATAAGATAGATATGAATATTTTGTCACTGTAACATCAAAAAACTATCAGAAATAAACGGTTTTGGAACGTTTTAGAACTCTGGACAAAATAGGAAAAAAGTTATGGTGAAATGAAAATACAAAGAAATGTATGTAATTTTCCACCAATGGCTGTCTATTTGTTTCTGAATATGAATTKAAATATGTGAAAACTTTGTCACTGTCMTATGAATGAACTACCATAAATAAACATTTTTGGGAAAGTTGTACAGCCCTGGATAACGAACAAATTTATGGCGAAATGAAAATAAAAAGAAATGTATGTAATTTTCAGCCAAGGCCTTTATAGCCTCGTTCTGGTATTAAGATACATTTTAAATCCTATATAACTTCACCAGAATTCAATATTTTCATTTCAAACTTTCATGTTGCTATTAAAAATTTATGTTAATTAGGCGGCCATTATGGCAAAGTTGTATATGGCATAAAATGGGATACACTAGGACAGCATGGCACATACTGGGGTATGGATTTCATTTCCTTAGATGCACTTTGGTAATCAGATGTCATGGTAGGTGCAGTTTGATACATCAACATCACAGAAATACCACTGGAAGTACCAGGTATCTCAAAAATGTATTCCACTATATTCCATAGCATCCCATGGTATATCTCAATAAGAAACCTAACCGTAATACAATAGATTGTGGCAGAGACATTTGATTGTGTACATCAGTTATTGTATCTTGGTTTATAGACTAAATTTAATTCTTATACCTGATTTGGGGTACGTGGCGACAAACAAATCCTCAGCTTGGACTGGAAGATCTTTGATTTGACTCAGAAACTCTTTATTGACCCCTGGTAAATGAATCACACCATCGACGARCCCAGAATTCTTAGGATGAACGTATGGAGTATGCTGTCGATTTCCGGCCATTATTCAGTCCACCATGCGAGTCACGTCATCTGCAGATGTCATTTCATAGGGAACCTCACAGGCAGCCCAGCCATTTCTGCGACYCTGGGGGAGTGRGAGACTGATCGAAACTTTGCCAAAATCACATCAAATTGAAGCCTGCCCTTTATTGCAACAACGATGGCTTCAAARTTTTGAGGTTGAGGTAAAAGCGTTTCTCGGCGTATTTCGAAGGTGATTTGGACTATTTTTACAGAAATCGTTCCGACAAAGTTCAACACAACACTTTTACTCCGACGAAGGATTAACGTCCGAAACGTCAGAAAGTTACTTCACCTACTTTTTTACGGTGTTTAATTTATCTTTTTACATAACACAACACAGTTCCCATTGCATGACGYAACGTATATTTTGGTTAGAAAAAGCGGAGTCTCTAAGATTCTGTGACCCAGTACCGTAACTCCGAGCATCTCTCCATCAGACTAAATTAGTCAATATATAGATCTCATTGATCTTTGATTTTATTTGCTAAATACACACATACGATTTTGACACTTCAAGTCTATTGTATTCTGAGTTCAGTTCAGATCCGACTGCGTCCTCTCATGCTAATGTTCATAAGTTTTAATTAGTCGGGCTAGCCATAGGCTAGGCCGACTTTAGTTTTACCTTTTTGCCAATCTATCTGTGTGTCATGTCGCGTTTGGAACACCGGAAGTTCAATCGGCAACCTTCCTGTCATGCGATATTCTTTCTAACCGGAAATCAGACAACTCCAACTGGGATCCCTGTGTCACTGCGTCACACATGACATCATGACATTTATTAATTTAACATAACGTCATATGAGTCTACCTCCGAGTCTGCGGCATATCATCGTATACTACTACTTTTTGCTTGACTTATATACTAATAAATTTGCTTGTTAAGAACCATGTGGGACGACGTGTGCTTTATGTAACTGAATAAAACATAAGCGCATGCTCAGAGTACTAAATCTTCCATCCAATCACACATTTTTGCAGCTACCAGGGCATAGGTAGCCCTGTCAAATATACCATAATAATCAGGCAATCACGTGCATACCTACAAAGTAACCTGACAGCTAAAATTACCCATAATTTCCTGGTTGGATAGCASAGGAATACCAAGATCACATGGTCAATCATATTATCCATAATGCTTTACTTTACTTGTGTAGACTCACACTAAAAGATGTCAATGAGCGTCAGTTTCGAAACGAGTCKYTCCGCGGACCCAAAGAATTCTTCGACAAGACGAAGGATCAGACCTCTACTATCAGCTCTAGACTCACAGTGATAAGTTAATTTATTCTAATAGCTATATTTTACGTATCAATAAATAGTTTTGTCAATTATATTTCCCCATTTACTGTGGTTCGTTATTCATCGCAGTCTTGCTTTGTAAAATATGCTTCTTGACCTGAGAGGTCATTTTTTAATTAAAAACGTGAAACTTTACACCAAGATATCTGATAAYCAAATGCATTGCGCCATTTCGTCTCCGGTTGCATTAGTAATGATAGTATATGAGTTTTAAGAGCATTTAATACATTTATTTTGAATTTATTTGAAAGAGTTGCCTTTGGAGATTCCCCTAAATAGTATAAGCTGGTCTATGTACAAAAAACGGGATAAGTATAGGTTAATAGGATTCTTTACTTTAAACATTGCATCAAAAATTGTTAAATTATAAATTGTTGTTTATATGACCTTTTTAAAACACACGAAATTTGCATATTTTGAATGAGCTACACGCTTTTACAACGTGAAGTTGGGATAGCTATTTTTGAAAATTGAGAAAGACAGAATATCACTCCTGGATCGATATTCCTAGTGTTTTGGTGTCGTTGCGCCAAGCCACCAGAAAAGAATATCGCGGTGCGYGAATAAACAAACTAGATAAGGTATTCTACGCCATAATTTACTTTTATATATAATTATATGACTGTCAGAATATTACATGTTTTTTAGATACGAATTTTATCTTATCGTGTTGACCTCTTTCGCTCTTCACGTATTCGAAAATCCAAGTAATTTCTCAATTTTCCAAAATAGCTAGCCCGACTTCACGCTCAAAGAGCGTCTAGTTTGTTGATAAAAGAGTGATGAAGTCGGGTTTTACGTAGTCTTGGCAATTCCCGATTCACAATTGTTTCTTATGTTTTTTCAAGGCGAGTAAAGTTTAAAGTTCCATTCTTCGTAGTCAATGGCAATGCCCGTCGGAATGAAGTATTTTCAATTCGTCAGCGAATCTGGGGAGCCTCGTTTTTATGCAACATACGATATTAGGAACTCTTAAAAGGTGTTTTATTAATAGCAAAGGCTTTCTGGTGCAAAATCTTCTGYTGCAGTTAGTGGTAGGTCTACCCACTTTTTGCCTAGACAATACAGCCTTTGCTCTCTCAAAGTCCTTTTAAACAGTGCTGAACAGTGCTGACTGAACAACAAAACTAATTTTTGGAATCCCTTTCTCTTAATTTACACACATATGAGTAAGTTATTTACAGTGTAAATATGACAAAAGTCAAAAGTAATGAGAAAGATCACAGACGTGATTCAGAATTCTATTTCCAGTCCACTTCCAGCCATTTTCTTCTCGTACATTTCATCAAATTGTCGGTTTTGTTCATCAGTGAAGTAGTTTTTCCAGTCACCAACTTCGCCTTTTCGAAGAAATTTTGTTGCACCCGGGTTTCTCCGTTTATGGCCGTCTGGTTCACCATCGTAGAATCGTCCTTTGCCATCAGACATGGCAGTAAAGGTTGTTTGGTCAGCGATACGTTGAATCATCTCTGGAGATAAATCTTTACCAAGAAATTTGGCTATTTGTTGAACAGAACAAGGCAGGTCCTGAACATGAACGAGAAGTCGATAAATTATTGTGAATATTGTCACGGTTCAGGTAAAATACTTCATATCTCGTCAGTACCTTTTTCATGTCTTCGTACTTTAGGAACAGAACATTGTCGTCATCACGATGAACCCACCATCCAAGCACGTGATCAAACCAACCTCCGTATTCAACTGTAAACAAAGTTTACCATTATCACAACACACAAGCTTTATACATCGATGCATGATATAGGCGGTCCAACTGAGCAGAGTCTGTCGCACGACTTCCATTTATGGATGTCCATATACATACCTCTGATGTACCTATATAAAAGGCTCTCATGTTCCTATAGAAGATTAATTTATTGTATATTTTCAACCTTATGTATATATACGTGGTTATTCATGCATGCCATCACATAAATATCACCCTGAAAAGTTCAGGTTCACTCAATCGCATTGATTGCTTAATGCCTAGGTTTAGGGAAAATATAGGGTTAGGCAATGCATATCGCTCTGGTTCGAATCATCAAAAAAACGTTCTTCACATAATTGAGACATAAGAGCCTTCTATGTGCACATCAGCGCCGTGTAGATGCCCAACCATATATGAAAGTCGTAAGACAGATTCTTCTCGTCCAACTATTGCTCGAGAGAAAAAAAGAGAACGAACGCGCGCTCTTACTTAATTTGTTTTTAAAACTTTTTTGTTTTGTTTTCTAAAATTGCTTTTTGGCTGTATATTACAATTTCTTTTCATTGTTTTGAAGAAAATTAAAAAGTTAATTTTTTATTTTCACTTTTATTTTCAAGTCGGGGAACTCACGTCTATTTACGAAAGATCTCGAGGTCTTTACGAACAGAAAATGCTAGAGTGTGGGGTGAACACACATCGGTCAACGACGAGTCAAATGCTTTTTTTTTTTTTATTCTTCGTTTTGAAAAGTTTCTTGTCACCGGCAGTGTTACACCTATGGGAGTAGATCCGGTTCATCTAGAATTTTTCAGAGATTCACACAGATTATAAAGAAGGGAAGCCTAAATATATCTGTCAAGCTCAAAGTTTCTTACGCGATTGGCTGGCTTCTCAAAATAAGGCATGGGAAGAAAGAGACATGAGAAGACAGCTGATCCACAAGAATTTGCATACTCGAATTTAAGAAAACAATCAAAGTGATCACGGACGGTTGCTAAAGCTTTGATGACTTATTTTTCGTAGTGTATTATTATTGATCGATTCATTATAAAGAGAACCTGCAATCAAGAATCCAGTTCAAAACCATCTTTGGAATCCGGAATCCGCATCTGGAATCAGGAGTCCAAATATTTGGAATCCAGAATCCAGCAAACATTTTGAAATGAAATCCAAAAACAAAAATTCCTTGGAATCCGGAATCTCAAGGCTTGGAATCATGGGGCGAATTACAGCTGTTTTATTACCTCGACTATCGATAAACATCTTAAAGAACTCATCCCATGTTCGATCAGAACCAAATTCGTAATGTTTCATACGCCGGTAATGATGGTAAAGCGAAACAGCAATGTCTTTTGGATTCCGCGCTACGTAGATGTACTTTGGTTTGTTGGTTTTACCATCTCCCATGGGTACTTCATGGTATCGCAGATGAGTCTTGAAGATACGCGGTGAAGGATGATTCAAATACAAGTCATTGAGTTCTTCCTTTGTATTGACATTGCTTGAGATCTTCGTAGCCTCCAGAAACAGTACTCGTATTCTGATTGGTCTTTCGTCGATGCTTGCATCACGACAAATTTGAAAAATGATTTCAGAAACCCATGTTGTTCCTTTTACACAAAAAGGAGAATAAAAATATTACAAAGGTGTGACTCGCTAGGTCTATGCTAATCATTGATACGATGATTTTAGAGAGTGTGATTTTTTCTGCTGTTAATGTTGTTGTCGTCTTTGGTTTGCTACGTAGGAATCAAAACATTTTAAAACCCAGTTTATCACTTACAAAAAATACAGCACGTCATACTGTAGTACAGCTATTTTATGTATGGTATCCCAATGAATCCCATGGTATGCCAATGTATCCTAGTTTATCCCAGTGTGCTATGG